CTATTGCCCAGGCTGAAGTGCAATGGCACAATCTCAGCTCGCTGCAACCTCCGCCTCCTGGGTTCAAGAGTTATCCTGCCTCAGCCTCTCCAGTAGCTGGGATTGTGGGCATGCACCACTGCACCCAGCTTATTTTTGTATTTTTAGTAGAGACCATGTTTCACCATGTTGGCCAGGCTGGTCTTGAGCTCCTGACTTCAGGTGATCTGCCCACTCCAGCCTTCCAAAGTTCTGGGATTACAGGTGTGAGCCACTGTGCCCAGCCTTGGAAAATCACCTTCACCTCTAGCCTTCTCCATCCCCAGGAAATAAGCTAAATATTCAGGATGGGGCTAGGGGGTGGGGAAACCAATTTTGCTTTCTCTATATATTACATTTGAAACCATGTAAGTAAATTCTTAAATGTCCAATGTCAACACATTTTTCAAATTTAGTTAAATAAATGGATATACCTAATGATTGACACTTAATGCATTTTGCATTGGGAACTCAATCGGCTTTGGATTGTAATTTTATAGGCATCATTGGCAATCAGATGAGAACCTATGAAAAAGTTACAGCTCAGGAGTTATACAGAAAGCAATAAAATTCTTAAAGGAAGCAAATTTTATATAATTTAAAACATTTTTAAAGTAATGTTTTAGAGACATAGTAGAAAACTTAGTGTCCTTTGTAAAACACAAGCAAACAGAAAACGTTCCTAACGATATTGGGCATAGCCATAATGTGTGTTTGTATAACATAAATTCTTTTGGTTTGTCTGGACTGTTTTCATCACTTTTTTTTTAAGAGGAGGGATCCAAATGCTCTCACTTCAGGGAACAGGCAGAACAATAAATATATTACCGACAAATCATGGCAGCATTGGTGGGCTAAGTAATTAAGCTGTTACATTCTTAAAAACAATCAAGTCTGTCCTGGATACAAGAACTGTACCCCCTCTCCTCTTCAGCGGGGACCTTCATAAAATACCAGACCTGGGCCTGGCATGGTGGCTCACACCTGTAATCCCAGCACTTTGGGAGGCTGAGGCGCATGGATCACTTGAGGCCAGGAGTTCGAGACCAGCCTGGGAAACATGGCAAAACCCCATCTCTACTAAAAATACAAAAGTCAGCCAGGTATGGTGGCACACACCTGTAATCCCAGCTACTTGGGAGACTGAAGCAGGAGAATCGCTTGAACCTGGGCTGTAGAGGTTGCAGTGAGTCGAGATCATACCACTGCATTCTAGCCTGGGCGACAGAGTGAGACCCTATCTCAAGAAACATAAGTACCAGACCAGATTGGAAAAGCAAGTTATTCCCAATTCATGATTACATTATGGAATGTGTGCTTTCTGATAGAATTGAGGACATTCTTGTAAACACTATGGTGGCACCTTTGGTGTAATTATGAATGTATCTCAACTGGAAAATCAAGACTGCAACTCTTGTCTGCCATCTTTCTGAGAGGACCAAACCAAAGGCCACGCCCCAGGGAGCCGGAGGATTCAGGATGAGACAGTGCCCCTGACATTGCCCCCAATTCCTAACAAACTAGCTTCTTGTTAAATTCAGTTAAGGGTAACTAAATTAAAGTAACGCAGCCTCAGTATAGCTGTCAGACTCAAAAATCATTTTTCAAGGATTTTTATGGAAAACGGTGTGCTTTTCATTGGGCACAGAATTATCCCTGTGTGAGGGAAATCCATTCCATGAGTTTTTATTGAATTTGATGTCCAAAGTTTCCTGCCTAAGAGCTTGACCCCATGTGCAAGAAATTGGGTACAGAGCCTTAACAATAATTACCACCATTAGCTGGAAGCCAGCCTCTCCCTCGGCTCCTGTTCTGTCCTGGACTTTAACTTCAGTTCTAGCAGAGCCTTTGCACTTTTGGAATTAATAGATCTGAGAGGCTGCAGCACTCCAGACTGCTAGTTGTCCCCGGACCTGCTGAGGAGAGGGATGCATGCTCAGCATTTCAGCATCTACAAATTGCTTTACCCGTTCAAAGTAAGGACTCACTCTGGGCTCAGTTCCTGGTGCCATGTAGAATCTGCTGGGTGACCAGAGACATGCAAAGACAGACACGCAAATGTATACGCACACTACAGGGACAGGTCCCCAGGCCCAGGCGGGGATTAAACTGCAGCAGGAGGCCCACAGACACAGGCAGCAAACCCTGATGGAGGGAGAAGAAAGCTCCAGGGAAAAGGTTGGGATCTACCCAGGGGTCCCATGTGTTTTGAACATGGCTGGGACATAGTTCATAAGGAGTGTGCAGAACAAAAGCATGGAGAGGACAGCGAGGTGCCATCTGGGAGCAGAAAATTACTAGGATGGGAGAACAGTGTGAATTGTGCTCTGGGGCCATGTCCCTTTTAAAAGAGTACAATAGAGACCAGAATTAATCTTTAGAAACTAAATAGAAACTGTCACCAGGCATAGAAGTGGTGTGGAAGTGGGGCAGCAGAGTGAGAGAGAGGGATGCCCGTAAGGGCGATGGTGGAGAAAGCAGAGGACGGGGCCATTTGGAACAGATGCCAGGGACAGCATCAGCAAGTGTGTAAATGAGGGGTGCAGGGAACAAGCAGCCCAGAGATCTAACCCCCATCTCCTCTCTCTCTCTCCAGCTCTTGCCTTTTAACACCTTTGTTTTAATTATGAATACATCTTAACTGGAAAATTGAGGCCGCAATATCCCCGTTTCCTTTCGAACTCATATTTCTAAACCATACAAACCATATATTCTGGAGAATCCGCTTGGTTTCTTGGCATTCTTAGAGCATCATTCTCTCCCAGTCTCTCCAGCCCCAACCTGCGGAATCAGCTTCCTTCTTGGTCCTCAGTGCGTGGACGGAGCTGTGGAGTCCCATTATCCTCTTGGAGTAGCAATCCCTGCGTCTTAGAGCACTGACTTCTGGGGAGGACCACTTTGATAGAGCGCCTTAGTGCCCTAAGACACAGGGTGCACCCTTTTCTATAGACCATAGCCATTTTCCAAGCCTTTGTTTTGTTCCTAAAGCCCATAACTCTCTCCTTCATGTTCCCATTCTGATTTCCTGCTTGGCTTATTGTCCTATTGTTGAGAAAAGCAGCAATCAGATTTCAACCTGTTTCTTTCAACCAGTAAGTTTACCTGTGTCTGCCCTCACCTGGCTTCCCTCAACCAGTAAGCCTACCTAAGGCCTTCCATAGCTCTGCCCTCCTCCCATCTCAGAGGTGTTTGTTCCTATGCCGGACTCACTCCATAGCCTATATCTTCTGCCCTCTTCAGTTTCTGCCAGGACATTCATTATTTCTTCAAGTTTACCTTTCGTTGTTAAATGTCTCCCATTTGCTTCCCCCATTTAAAAACACTTAATGATAATTATATTATGATTATAATTTCTTATATTTACTGAACATATTGTTTTCATAACAACCCTGTGATACAAATTCTATTGGTCCATTATATAGAGAGAAAAATGGAGTCACAGACAAGCTAAGTAACTCGCAAAAAAAGCACACAGCTAACAAGTGATACAACCAGAATGTGAACTTGGACAAAAAAAACTCAAATGGCCATCAGCTTAGCAACTACATCATGATACTACTCAGAACTTCCTCTTCTGTTATAAAAAAGGAAGCCAGCTTTCCTTGGTCATGCCCTTCCCCAGTCTACCCTTTATCTTTAAAGTATCTTCACTTTCCTGTTACTTCCAAATTCTCCAAAATGAGTTCATATTCACTACTTCTGCTTTCTTATCTCCCGTGTGCCATACAACCTTTTGCAAATGTCCACAGAACTGGCTTTCTGTAGTTCTGCAGTGATCTCAAAATTGTCAATCCAAAAACATGTTTTAATCTAAAGGACTCTTTCCCTCTGATCTCAGTGTCGTCATTTGCTTCTGCTTCTCAGAAGACACCTGTTTACCTGCTGCCTTGCATTGCAACCTTCTTTCAGTGTGTGTATCTGATAGCTCTGATTACATTCTGAACTCTTGGTTGGCAAAATGTTTACATCTCTTAGTTCTACACCATGTACCTAGTACATAGCACATTTCCAACACATGCCAGTCAGCTCTAACTGGGATGTAATTGGGATTGTCTCTCATTGGCCCATTGACTTATTGCACACTCAGCGGAAATAGGTTACTTTAAACTGCACACTTTGTTTTCCTCTTCAACTTTGCTTCAGCCCTCTATGCTAGAGCCCCTGGTTCACAAGGGTTTTTGTTGTTTGTTTGTTTGTTTGTTTTGAGACGGAGTCTCGCTCTGTCGCCCAGGCTGGAGTGCAGTGGTGCAATCTCAGCTCACTGCAACCTCTGCCTCCCAGGTTCAAGCGATTCTCCTGCCTCAGCCTCCCGAGTAGCTGGGACTACAGGTGCCCGCCACCACACCTGGCTAATTTTTTGTATTTTTAGTAGAGACGGGGTTTCGCTGTGTTAGCCAGGATGGTCTCAATCTCCTGATCTTGTGATCCGCCCGCATTGGCCTCCCAAAGTGCCGGGATTACAGGCGTGAGCCACCACGCCTGGCCACAAGGGTTTTTAATTGAAGAACAAAAGCCATGAAAGACACCCAAAGGCAGAAGCATCTTGATTATTTTTGCCCGAAGTCGTTCTAATCAATTGAGAAACCCCAATACCACATCACTAAGCAACGCTTCCAGCGGGGAGAGAAGGATCTTCAGTACACACCATGGACAGCATTTTATAAGGGAAATTTTGTTTTGCAACTTTCTGTTGTACCCCTTAACTTGTTCAAACTTGGGATTGATACACGAAGTTGTCTAAGACATGGTGAGAAGGAATACCGTGATAGGTCCTCAAGATTCACGTTTCCAAAGAGCAAATAAAGGCCAAGAGTTGGACACAGTAACTCTACAAAACTGACGTTTCCCACGACCGCTAAAAACTTCTTTCTCTGTGCCAAACGTGGGGATGGGATGACTTCGGGGACCGCCTTTGGCTGTGTAGGCTTCGATCTGCTCCGGCACGCTTCTCTAACCTGCCTGTGGGTTTTTGGTCCTTACAGCTCCTGACGGTCCACCTCAGGAAGTTCACCTGGAGCCTATATCATCTCAGAGCATCAGGGTCACGTGGAAGGTAAACCCAGCAAACACTTGTATTCCCGTTGCTTTCCCCCCAGGGCGAGCCCTTCACTCCTGTTCAGTGTTCCGACACCAAGACTCTCAAATTTTACAAAACTTAGTTTTTCAAAATTAACTGGAAAGCCCTTTTCCTAAAATGCAGTATTTGTATCCACATTTTGAATACTGTCACAGCAAATTCTGTATCACAGAATAAAGTGGTTTTATCTTTTTTTTTTTTTTTTTTTTTTTTGCTTGAATCTTGATCAAGGTCCTAAGCAGTGGTCTCTACAGAAATAGTGAAACTGAAGTCCCTGACTTCATGCTCTCATTTCATCCCAGCAAAAATGTTTTCAAATTGCTTTTTTTTAAATGACAAAGCATGCGGTGGCAGACAGTCCACCGAGGTGGCAGGAAACAGGCCAGGTCCTCACTGTGCCACTAACTTGATGTGTTCTCAAGAAAGCCCCTACATTTTCTTGCCAGTGAAGCGAGCTGTTGAATCAACTGACTCCCAGGGCAGTGCTACCCCATGTGTGGCCCATGGAGGCCAACTGGCTGCTGGTTACTTTAGTGTTTGTTGTAAGTAGCTGGGAGAGAAAGAAAGCTTGAGCCACAATGTAAACAATTGCATCACTAAGCACATTGTTTCATTCAACAGCCATGATTTCCATAGCAAACTTCCTCAAGTAAGGAAGCAGTGTTGATTCTGGAGCAAGCTCATCACCAACCACCACTGTTCCATGACCTTCAAGTCAGTAGCATGGCCCTGACCTGGTGGGCCATGGTATTAGTCATCCTCCTGAATGTGCTATTGGAGATGACTGTCTTAGGCCAAATTCCATTTCATCTAGAATGTTATTATCGAACCAAGAGTTCTGTAAGATTGCATTAACTATCCCAGCTCTGAATTTCTCTCATTGCATGTGATTTTTTTTTTTTCTTATCTCTTTCCTCACCCTGTTTTTTTTCCTGTGGTGTCAATGGGAGAAGAGGGCAGCCAACAACCACAATGAGGTCTTCACATCACACACCTCTTCTAACCATTGCATCTGTTTTTTTGTTTGATTGTTTGTTTGTTTTCCCTCTAGTGTGGGTTCTTTCATAAGATGACCAGCCTCTGTAACAAAAATGGATTTTCAGTGTTGGGGCGGATACCACCTTTGGTATTACATGCGTTAATGCAGCCCCTTTGTGTCAGCGTTTCTCAACCGCAGTCAATGAGTTGTGTTTCCCGTGGGCAGTGTGATGTGACTGTTTAGCTGCACAGACAGTGCAGGCCGAGGAGTGTGGGGGGCGGTGTCATTGGTCTTTGTGAGCACATTCACCACCTGCGAGCATCACTCACATTGTAGAATAAAGACACTCAGCAAGCCGTAACCCCACACGCATTCCCGCCACTCTACAAATGGAATGCTGACTCACTCTGTCTTGAATGGAAGACTGTGAAGTTTTACCCACTAGCTTTACACATTCTCTTGTGTTTTTCCCTGAAAAAGACCAGGTATTACTATGGCCTCAAAAGCTTTTTGGGTCTTTTGGGTCCTGCATGAGAGAGGTGTCTGTCCACAGAGGATCTAGCTCTTATAACTAAAAATGGAAACTTCTGAGGCTTTAAAAGGCATTGTATCCTTTCTCTCTCTGTAGAAAGCAGCCACAAAAGTCAGTGCATTGCAGTTAAATTTCTTTTTAGTGCCAAAGGATGAACATGTTGTGGGACTATTAAAAGGAAGCCTGGCTTTCATTAGATTGTGAATCGACTGTAATATATTGTTCATGGAGGAGTGCAATCTATCTCTGTAGTGGGCCTTTGTGGCATGGCCTGTCAGCAGGCGGACTTGCCGGTGATCTAACTGACTAATGAGGTAGGGGCTGCCCTGTTACCAGCTTATCATTTCATGTTGGCCTGTTTATATAATGAGCTTTTAAAGGACAACACTGATTCAATCGAATTGGATGCTATTACGTGAAATCTAATGTATGTGTAAAGGACAATATGTTACATACAACATGCCTTTATTTATGGCATAAAATCCAGAATATCTGCTTTGTGTAAGGAGAAAGAAAGAAGGAGAAATAGCGTTAGCCCCAAAGAGGGAGCCCCACATCTGTCAGTCAGAGTGGACATATGCAATCGTGGGAAGTCTAAGGTGGGAGCTCATTCATGGTCACGGATGCTGATCGGAAGTAAAAGATGCATTCAATAGATAGATACAGGGTAAATGAGGAAATAGCTCTGGGGTTTTGGTGGGAAAATAACCATTTAGACTCTAAGCCTTTTAAAGGTAAGGGGCGCTTTGGTGGCCTTTCTCTAACACTGGAGATAGAGATTACATTTATTTAATTATCATTGAACAAGCACTGCTTCTGTAACAACACCCTCTGTTGATCAAAATAAGCAACTTTCCCCTTTTGTTTTATTTTATTTATTTATTATTTATTTTGAAACAGTCTCACTCTGTCGCCCAGGCTGGAGTGCAGATGGCACAATCTTCGCTCCCTGCAACCTGTGTCTCCCAAGTTCAAGCAATTCTCCTGCCTCAGCCTCCCATGTAGCTGGGATTACAGGCACGCGCCACCACACCCAGCTAATTTTTTTGTATTTTTAGTAGAAACAGGGGTTTTCACCATGTTGGCCAGGCTGGTCTTGAACTCCTGACCTCAAGTGATCCACCCACCTCAGCCTCCCAAAGTGCTGGGATTACAGGTGTGAGCCAGCGCACCCGGCACCCCTTTTATCTTAGTTATTTCTTTCACCAAAGAAGAGCTTCTGATTTTGAAATCTTTCATGTCCAGCAAAGGTTGCTCAGGACCTAGTGAATGCAGCCATCCTACATCAGCTACAGCACCTGGATTCAGGCCCCTTACCTTGCCCCACCTTCCCAGGGATTCCTACCCATGCAACAGTTCACAAGTATCATCGTCTTTCTTGTCAGTGTTCCACGGTTTCTAACACGCTCACCTCTCCTGTCCATTCCTGCTCATTTGAGGCTCAGATTGTGCATGACTGACCCCGTGAAAATGGGAATTTCCAAAGTACAATTAGAGTTTCACCCTCTGTGTTACCCATTGCTCTTGGTGATGGCTCAGCGAGGTCCCCACCCCATGGCTTCTGCAGTCTGTTTCACGTGCATCCCCTCCACTGTTCTGGGAGCTCCTTGGCGGCAGGAAGAGAGGCTTATTCAGCTCCAATCCCTCGTGGCTGACATGTGTTCCATGAATGAATGAATGGGTTGAGTGAAGGAGAGGTGAGTGTATATGTGAGTTGGGAATGAAGAGGCCTAGAAGACAAGTGTTCCATATCACAATTGCCTGTGAAGCATTATGTGTTTCTGAGACTGCCATGGAGAAGGCATCCCAGCTATTAGGATCTCCAGACAGCAAACATGCTGAACTCAGGCCTAACTCATGATACAGTGAAATGCCCCAGCCTGTACAATGGCAGGCACTCGAAGATGTGAACCACACTCAATACACCAGGCGACCAACCACTTTTCATATGAGTTTCTACTATAATAATTTTCAATATAGTTCATTGAAAAGTAAAGGGCAATAGTGGTCCAATTTGTGATAAGTTTCATGGGAAATGGACATCTTCACATCCCAAATGTAAGCCCATAGAAAGGTGTTCAAGAACCACGAACGTATTTGATGTCTATATTATGCAAGATAAAGTCTTGGAAAGGGCTCTTAAATACTTTTACAAATATTAAGTTAATTAAAGTGCTAACCGAGGCCTTGACAGAAATTCAAAAGACGATGTAAGTGGTTCTGAATAAACTAAAATAAATGACAATAAAGTTTCATTTGACATTCTTGGAAAAACAAAAGGATTTGTGTAAGCAAATACAATTTCATTTGTGGCAGATTTTGTTTCTGATTCAAAATCAGAAGGAATATTTAAAGCTATAAATAATTGATAACATATTTGATAAAGTACCTGAAAATTGTACAACTAAGGAATTCTTTGGGTTTTTCAGAAAATTCTAATTTTTAGTTTATCTCCTAAAGTGTCTCTTTTAGCAGTGTCTGTCACCTTCTCTCGTAATCAGGATTGCCAGCTACTTGTGTGCATGCTTGCGTGTGTGTATGTGTGTGTTTGCCATAGTCACTCCTAAAATAAAACTTTCATTATTTGGAATATTTAATGATTATATACATCTCAAAACATTTATCCAGAGAATACAATTTAAGACAGATGCTTTTTTCCTATTGATATAAAATATGTGTTGTTGTTTTATTTTTGCATTAAATGAGAAACCTTTGCAGAACCACAGGCTGTCCCAAAACTATGAAATGGTCAATTACTTAAATATTCCTGTGCTGAGAATAATGATCAAAGTGATAACTTGCAATAAAAATCTGAGAATAATTTTACCACTTTCTTGGCCCTTAGTATTGTACCATCTGGGTGAAAATTTTACTTAAAATGAGCAAAATTCTCATTTAGAATTAAGAAAGAGAGGTATGACTTCTGTAAAATATTAAAGTTGAATATTTAGAGATTTAATTAAATTTCAGTAATCCGAAGAATATTTTTAACCAGAATATCACGTCTCCACTCTCCCCAATAATTCCAGCTAATTGAGGCATCATTACAACCTATTACGTTTCAGAGTTGAACTCTTACAACAGGAAAATGGCTCAGTCTGTCATCTAAAAACAAAACTGCCATATTTCCAGTGACCTCGACAGTAATGGTTTAATAAAATAAACCGCGGGCTCCGCTTGCCTTCTGCACTGAAATCCCTCTACCTCCAGGAAAGAACAAGGCACCTTCCCGCACTAGTATTTCCTGGCCAGGGGTTCCTGGGACAGCTGTCGTTACGGGGGTTTGCTGCCTGCCAGGCACAATGCTCAACTTCTGCACACAGTATCTCATTTTATCTGTGAGCTGGGAACACGCAGTTTTCTGCAGAGGGAGATCCTGAAGTCAAAGGAACTTGCCCAAGCTCTGAAGGCTGGTGACTGTCAGATTGAGGACTTCCACCCAGGCTGCCTGGGTCTGCCTCCTGG